TCACCCCCCCCCCCCGCATCCCCTCAAAGGTCACAGGGTCAGGGTTTCAAACCTGTGTCTTTGTAAACATTAAGGCTCTGAAAACAACCAGGAAATGAGGTTTACATGGTGACCACGCCCCCAACAGGCCGACACCACGCCCACATCCACGTCCACTACAACAACTCCAACACCGTCATCTGAACAGAACCCAGACCAGCCGTGGAGGACTGGGTCTGTGGTCACAGAAACGCCTCATCGTCACTCAACAGAAATCAACAGAAACACTGACATTCGTCTGTGGGCTCTGCTGACGGACAGCTGACCAGGGGGCGGGGCAGATCTGTGGGGGGTGTGGCTCTTCATGGAAGATCGCAGGGCAGAGAGCAATGGAAGCGTCGGCAGCTCTTTGACCCTGATGGAAGCAAAAAGATACGCCTAACCTCTCACGTCACCACCAGAGGGCAGCCTCTGATTGGACCTCAGGACTACAGAGGGCAGCCTCTGATTGGACCTCAGGACTACAGAGGGCAGCCTCTGATTGGACTAACTGGGCCAGGGCATAGCTGTTGAAACGTTCATCCTTGACGTGGGCAGCCTCTGATTGGACTAACTGGTCCAGGTCATAGTTGTTGAAACGTTCATCCTTGAACTTTTTTGTCTTCCGTGAACACTTTGATCAACGTTCACAGCCAACATCGCAGCTCACTGTCACTTCACATGTTAGTTCAAGTGAAGTGATGTCACTAAAAGCATCAGTGACATCATCACTGGTCCAAAATCTCATTGTTTTGTTAGAAACGTCCAGAAGGCTCCCTCTGCTGGTGGAATAATAAATGAATAAATGAATGTTCAGCTAAGAAGTAAAAACCTTCCTCATTAACGCAGACATGCCAACCTGAAAAGGTGTGAGCGCCATCAACAGGTGAACACTCTCTCTGCCTGGCAGGCACATTATTACTGCTGGAGATTATGGAATATTACGTTGAAAGTTGGGATGAACAGGGAGCTGCTGCCATCATGTGGAACATCGTGGGATGTGTGTTAATGTTGTCCTAATTTTTTCTACTTTAACTCTCGTTAAGATGAAGCTAATCAACAACAACGACAATTTTCAAAAGAAGAAAGAAAAACAATATTAGTCGTTAACACATTTCAGGAGTCGTTTTAACATGAAAGCAGGGATGCTAATTAGCTAGGTAGCTAACCTCCAACCGTCACAAGAAAATGAAAAGTAAGATTTACCATTGATTACCAGAAAAGTGTTTTGTGTCAAGCTAGTTAGCATAAGCGCTACAGCAGAACGTGAGGACAAGTCAGCGTGGACTCAGTCCACAGAGGGTTAACGAAAACCTGCTGTCCGATCTCATGGATGCAGAAAGGCTGTTAGCGTTAGCATTTCCCGCCGTTCTCACCGCAACAAACACACAGCTGTGGTCGGCTCTGGTTTTTATCAAAATGTTAAATTCTTGTTTTTCATTTTCCTCACTGTTGAACTACGACCTGATGACATCACACCATCTGTCAATCAGTCAGGGTTAGCGTTAGCTACGAGTGTGTTTACAGTTTCATGTTGTTGTGAGGAAACCTCTGCTCTCCTTCTCCCAACATTATGATCAATAATCAATAATCAATTTATTCATGATGATTTTTTTCAGGTTTCCACCTGGAATGAGGTGCGACCGTCAGGAAGGATCGTTTAAAATGATCTGGAAGTTTCCACACATCAACATCGATCGACTGATTGATAAAAGGCTCCCTGTCCTCCCAGCCGTCACCTCCTCCTCCTCCTCCCCCTCCCCCTCCCTCTCCCCCCCCCCCCCCCTCCTTCCCCTCCCTCTCTCTCTCCA